GAACACTGTGACACTGATGTGTCAAATGCATTAATGGCTGGTTACCCAATGTGGACAGAGAGTGGGGTGGAGCTCCCCGATTAAAGCAAGCTTGGAAGGAGGAGTGGCATCCACTTCCGTAACAGCTTGCCTGTGGAAACCCTATGAACCCGGAGAGAGGATGGAAGTCACACATGTGTTGAGGACTTCCATTCATAGGCTCGCTATGAGTTGCCTGCAACTCGACGGCACTTAACAAGAACAAGAACAACAACAACAACAACAACAATTAATTTCATAATAATAATCTGCATAGTACTGAAAAATCAAAGATTTAGGTCCTTCTCAAGAAAGTGTTACTAGTTATATGAAGATGAAACCAAATGTTTATGCCTATGAATTTTACTTGCACAATAATAAAGGGGGAGGTTTTACCGAAGGTAGTACTTACATTCCACTCCAATGCCCCAGCAGCGATCCCTGAAGACGCTCCGGCCCCAGCCAAGCCCACAAGGTAGCTGCTGCCAGTGTTTGAGGTATAAAGTGAAGCACCCACCTGAAAAGGAAAAGTCAATTCTATGTCAAAATTCTGAGTCCACGTCCAAGAAGGAAAGTGCACAAATGCACAGTCATAGTGAGTGCTTTAATTTGCTAGTATTTGTAAGATCCAAGTAAGTAGCCTGAAGGAAGTGTTTATTTTCACACAGCTAAAAACACCAGAAGTCCTAAGTGTGAGTTCTGGCTCTACAGAGGGTCTTCTTTCTCTCCCCTTTCTAGTATCTGTATGCCCCTCTGTCCAATCCTGGCCTTGTGAACGCATCTGTCTCTGTTGTGTGTCTGTGTCCTGCCCCTACCCTATTTGTGTGTATGTCTATTCTGCTCTTTGTAAAGAAAAACACCGAGATATATGTTTTTGTTTTTATGTGCCGTCGAGTCACTTGCAACTCATAGCGACCCTATATACAACAGCCCTAAACTCTGCTCTGTCCTGTGCCAACTGCACTGTCTCTGATACACCCCTTCCGATTACCCCAGTCACTGAATCAATACACCTCATAGAGGACCTTCCCCCCTGCGCTGTCCCTCCACCCTCCCAAGCATGATGTCTTTCTCCAAGGACCGGTCCCTCCTTACAACATGTCCAAAGTATGTTAGATGGAGACTCAGAATCCTTGCCTCCAGGGAGCCGCCCAGTTTAACCTTTTCCAGGATGAATCTGTTTGTTTTCCTAGCAGTTCCTGGTACCCTCAATACTCTTCTCCAGCACCACAGCTCAAAGGCATCAGTTCTCCTTCTATCCTCCTTGGTCATTGTCCAACTCTCTGATGCATAACAAGTGACTGCAAAGACCATGACCTATATCAGATGCACCTTAGTACCCAGAGACACACCGTTGCTCTTCAGTACTTTAGAGAGGTCCCTAACAGTAGACTTTCCCATCACAATATGTCTTTTAATTTCCTGGCTACTGGTGCCGAGAGTGTTGACTGTGGAGCCAAGGAAACTAAAGCTGAGAACAATCTCAATCTCTTCACCATCCATCCTGATGCTGCCAATTGGTCCAGTGGTGAGAATCTTTGTCTTCTTAACATTGAGCCTCAATCCATACTGGAGGCTGCAGTCCTTGACTCTCCGCAACAAGCGCTTCAGGTCCTCCTCAGTTTCAGGGTTGTGTCATCTGCATAATGCAGATTGT